GACCACCAAACTGTCACCAAGTAAACAGAAAGAGGTCTTCCAGAGGGTTGCCAAGCATGTTTGTCATGTCTGAAGCACTTTCTTGCCAAGCGCACATAAAGCCCTAGCCCACAGTAACAAGCATCAGAGCAGAGATTCAGGCTTTCACGTGTATCTGGAGCTCACAGAGTTCTCTATGCCACTGTCAGGACCTGTTTCCCTGAACCACCTCCATTATGCCGAGCTTTCATCATAGAGGGTTGTAGATCTGTACAGACTTATACACTGAAGAAAACTATACTGCTAATGAATGTATGTTGATCCTGAATATATGATGTTGCAAAAAACGGTGTTGTCAATTTTTTATAGTAAAAAGATCATGCACTTCTTGTTTGTGTGTGTAAAAGGAAATGACATAAACAAATAGAAAAGCAAAAAACTAAAGAGAAATTCAAAGACATTAAAAATCATAATTTCTGTGTTTGGAATGTGTCGTGATTTGGGATATTTTTTTGACCCATATGCACTCAAGCGCTCAAGAGACAATAATGGTGTAAACAGATGGGTTTGTAAATATGGAGAAGGTTGGAGGAACTGGACGTCTGGAACCAAGAACTGCACTCTGTAAAGAGGGACAGGTGAGTAAAGGCCAGGAGAAGTTCAGAGTGAGAAAAAGGTGCAGCCTACCAAGATGATAGAGCTGAATACCGGGAAGAGCGTAGCAGAGTCCGAATCCCAGGTTGACATGACGACACTGAGGTTTGCTGAGAGGTGTATATTTGGTAACTGGTTGTAGCCCTCATTTACTCAATACCATTAAATAAATGGGCTTTGGGTTCTTTTTTTTTAGTGTAATCTCAGACGATATTCTTAAATTAACTTTTCTTTTGTTTCTGGGATCAATGAAGCTTATTCCTTAACAATGGCACTACACGCGAAAATGAACACTAGTGTCTACAGTGCAGTAAATCATATCATACACCATGTAAAGTAGAGCAATATAACCCTCCTTTAATTTACCAAACAATGAAAACAATAAAATAATAAAATGGCAGGTTTCAGTATTCAGGCAAAGCAAAACACCCACAGCAATTTACCCAGTGTACCCAGAATCCCCACATACACAGTATAAACCACCAGTGATAAAACAATTATAGTCCCAAACTAAACTTAAAGCCGGCAGAGATAAACCCTACGTTGCAGGCCTGTCTTGCTCCAGTATAAATCCAAACGATCTCCAAACCGGAAGTTCTTCACTCAACGAGCAAAAATAAATAAATAAATTCAGTACCTTGTGAAACGTGCAATTCCCACCAGATTAATCCAGGCAACAGGTTGTCTTCAGCTCCTTCAAAAGCACTCCGCTCTGAACGCAGTAGCCAAAGATGAGGAAGGTCCGTGATCTCCACGTGCTCCAGCTACTTGTTTTTAGCTTCCCACGTTGCCAGAGGTACTCAGAGTGACGCGGGCACTCAGAGTGACTATCTGGGGTCTGTCTGTCGCTATCCAGTCCGGTAACGATCCTCTGCAGCTTGTTTAAGTTCCACAACTTTAGCGAAACGGCAGTCTACAGTAGTCCTTGTTAGCTAATGGCTGTGTTAGCCTCACTTTAACTCAATGCGGCCCGGACGCAGTAAACAAAACACACAGTCCAGCAGACTCACGCTGAAACTTTACATGTTATGTCACTAGCTTACCGACACTGTGACTTATCTTTTCAAAAAGTCAAAACACACTTATTACTAGTACATAAAAACAAGCTAACTGCTCGGGATACTCCGTGTAGCTCACGCACCACCATCTCTTCTCGCGCTCTCTCCCTCTCTTCCCTCTTTTCTCTCTTCTTCCCCACGCTGTGTTACCTTCACAGACCATATCCCCGTAGGAAATTACAGTTCTCACAAGCAATTCACACTAAAAGAAAGATAACTTATTTTAAACAATGCAAACATGTTTTTACCCATTTGACATGAACTTTGATCTTTTTAATATACAAGAAAATTGAACAAATGAATTTTACTCTTTGATATTTATATTCTTAGACTTTACTTATCTTTTACTATTTATGCATCCTTTAACCCGGGTTACACCCTCCCCCCACTAAATGTCTGGTGTCCTCAACAGACTACCAAGGAACTACAAGAACTTGGGAAGTAGGATGACCCTTTTTTTTTTTTTACACTATGGCTCTTAGTCTTTGCCTATAGTGATAACAACCCCTCTATGTATAATAGTGATAGGCTGATCTTTAGCTTTTCCTGGCTCATCATAGGTTAAACGAACTACTGGTTTAATCGGTCTCTTAGGCCTTAGTTTAGGAGTGTCACCCAATAGATTACGGTGTGTATCTGGTTTCTGAGTTTTGTCAGACCGGGCTGTTCTGTGATCCAGATCAGGTTCTGGGGCAGAATCTTCATCATCTTCTTCATTTTGGTCAGACACCTCCTGAATATCCACCATTTGGTCGGGCTCAGTCTCACTGTCCTGATTAACGTCTCCATCCTCCAGTGGCAGTTCCTCATTTTCACTGCTCTCATCAGAAGCAATTTCATCACTGACCTTGTCCTGGTCACTTGCACAATCCTCTTGTGACACTGCTTGGGATCTAAGAGCCTGTCTTAGTGCTTCTCTTACTCTTTCTTGAGAGTAGCCGTATCTCTGAGGCTCATAGTATTCACTCTCTGAGGACGAATCAGAATCCTG